GACACATTATTTTCATAACGGTCTGAGGCAATCAGTAAAGAACAAACAAAAGGAACACAGCAGCATCTTTCAAGTGTGCACAGAATTGCTTGGGAATTTAGCTGTTTCAGTAGTGTACCGTGCGGAAATAGTTAGCTGCTTTTAATCTGATATGCCAAAAATTGAGTACTTTTCTGGGGAAATAGTGTGCAAGCAGTATCTCATATGTATTCATTCTAGCAGTATGAAAGACAAGTTGATCCTAGGTATCAGAATTAAAGAGTTATTATTTCTAGTACCTAGAAAGAAAGAAGTGTTTGTTTTTGTTGGTGGTGCCTTTTTTTTTTTTTAAACAAAATTTCTCCAGCATTTACTCAGGAGCTTAGAACATTTAGAACTGAAAAGACGTTTAGGAATTATCTGTGCCTGACTCTGGCTCTGGCTCCAGACAGGCCTCCAACAAATGCGTTAATACTTCTCTTCTTACCCTTGAAGAACAATGACTAAGGATATTATGGTCTGCCTCTATTACCCAATCCAGTGTTTAAAAGTCTCCTCTCTTCCCCACTGCAAGTGTGTAAGTGTCAGTGACAAATTCAGCAACAGTTTGTGACACTTCATTTCCTAATATAATTGTGTCTTTTTTCCCCTAGAAATTACCAGTCTTTACCGCAGTGTGTGTTTATTCAAGCCTTCTCCTCAGTCCCATGGGTTATGATTGAGTAATGAGCACAATTTATGGATTAGGCATACTCTTTAGTGACTTTCACTCTTATCCTGTTCTTTGCTCATTTTTTAGCTAATGAATCGTCCCCAACTAGGGGGAAGTATGAAAATCAAAGCTCTTTGCTGCCATATTTCTATGCTGACTTGAGGGCTATAGATACAGATTTTATATATCTGTGATGCATTTGTTTACATTACTATTGTTCACTGAGGACTAATTATATAAAGGAGTCATACCCCAAAGATGGAGTGATTTAAACCCCGTGGAATGTTTCTCTCATAATAGAGTTGCAACTTCCATGATCATAGAACTTCTGAAATCTAAGTGTGCAATGGTAAGTATCCTCCAAAATAGTCTCGCCTTTTCCATCTCTATTTCTTTACCATTGCAAGTACATCTTCTGCAGATTCCATTCTGAGTAAGAGAGGAGCGTAGTGGGGTGTCAGTAAACAGTTAACTAAGGTGTAAGGAACTCCCAAATAGCAACAGAAAGTCCATATGTTCCCTATACCAGCTTTCGGGACTGTTCCTCAGTAGTTATTCACACATATCATTGACATACGTAAAAAGTTAAGTTCTTTTTATGTGACAGAATGGTTGAGAGCATGGGCTAAGTGCAGATTCCAAATCCATTTTTTACCAGCTGTGTGATTTGGATAAAGCTATTTAACCTGTCCAAACTTCAAGTATTCACCTTGTCTGTGGAAACAGAAATTATAACAGTACCCATCTCAGAAAGTTGTAATGAAGATTAAATGAGTTAATACCTGAAAAGTACATAAAATGGTGCCTGTTATGTAGTAAATGGTCAGTAACTATTAGCTATTAATAGCCATTATTACATGATTTATTTATAAAATCAACTTACTACTGTGGAGCATGCTTAAGCATTTTGTTTGGACTATGGAAAGGAAAGCTGTCAAAGTACTTATTTATTGCCCTATATCTCTGTGTACACCTTACTTGGTTATACTTAAATACTAACATCAGATTGTGTTATTTTAAAAACAGCTAAATAGGATCATTATCCTATTTAGCAGACATAAATTAAAATGACCTCACTTTTCTTTTCACCTAAATTTGAAATCAACATGGCTGTTTTATTTTACTAAATAAATATATAATGAAAGAAATACATAAATGAGGTATCCAGCTGGGAAATACAACAATAATGAGAAGAACTGTGTATTTTAAATGGCATTTTTCTATCTATAAAAAAAACGTTCTCTATGGAGTTGCTTCTGTCACCACCCCAAACTAAAATTTGTACATCGATCTGTGGTGGCTCTTCCTGGAAAGCAGTAACTTTACCCAGTGTGGAATAGTTCTGGAGCACTCTAATTATTTTACTAAAATTTACGTTAGCAATTACGTTACAAATTAACTTGTAATGGGTTAAAATGACCTGTTTTAAATAATACAGAAAAACCTTGGAATAGTTTAGCACAAGTTCTCAATTGTGCTAACCAATTTGTTTGGTTTAACCAAACAAAAGAAGGATTTATGTTTTAGAAATTTACGGGGGCTTCCCTGGTGGCGCAGTGGTTGAGAGTCCGCCTGCCGATGCAGGGGATGCGGGTTCGTG